GAGTAAGTACAGAATTTATTCATATTAATTTTTCCATTGGTGGGTAGAATAATTTTATTATTTAATCTTTGTGTATTTTGTTTTGTTGCTATCCACTTAAACCTTTTTATATTTATAACTAAATATTCTGATGGTAATCTATATAATAATGATTCTATTGATGATAAACAACGGCTCTTGCAGTATGGACAGTCCAACTCCTTGTATTCCTATAAACACACACAAAAAAAATATTATTTATTTTATATATATATATATATATTTATTTATTTATATATGTTTATTATATTTATATATATATATGTATTTATATGTTGATATATATATTTATATATGGCAAAGGCAACAGAAGAGAAGAGAATGAAGGAAAAGAAAAAAATAAAAAAAGATGAGATTTGCGGTAGATACAAAAAAAATAAAATTAAAACAAAAAAAACAAAAAAAAAATAAAATAGAAAAAATAAATTAAAATAAATTAAGAGAAATAGAAAAGGAAGAAACAAAAAAAATAAAAAGAAATAAAAGGAGACAAGAAAAAGAAGAAAAAACAGAAAGACAAATATAAATAAATAAATAAATAAATAAATACGAGCACAAAAATATAAACTCCAAAAACCCTAAACCCTAAACCCTAAACCCTAAACCCTAAACCCTAAACCCTAAACCCTAAACCCTAAACCCATTTCTTACAATTCCTTTAACAAAGGCTCTATAAATCATATTTTCAAGAGTTTCTTCTTTTTGTATATTACACCCATCATCATCATCCTCCTCTTCCTCTTCCTGCTGCTGCTGCTGCTGCTGCTGCTGCTGCTGCTGCTGCTGCTGCTTCTGCTGCTGCTTCTGTGTACTCCATTCATTATTATTTATATTATTATTATTTTTATTATTATTATTATTAAATTCTAATTGTAAATCAAGAAAATTATCGAATCTATGGCGAGTTGTGTTGCACTCTTTGCATGTAATCCTTGTTGCGTGCTGGCCGCCGAAGAGGTCGGTTACTATAGACTGTTCATGTTTCATTTGTTCTGTATAGAATCTATTGCTAGTTTGTTGTATTGTTTCTTCTTTATTATCATATAAATAATTTATTTTTTCTTCTTTTTTTATTCTATTACAATCCAAAGAAATACCATCAAGAAATGTACGAAGAAATTCATGTGCATCGTTTTGTCTATTCAGTGCAAATTCATCATATTCACTCCTTAATATAGATAATAAATTACTACAATTTATATAATTTTTATAGTTTCTTTTATTATTATTTATATTATTATAATTATAATTATTATTATAATTATTTTGATAGACTTGTTGCACCAGACGCATCCATGCTAGTGCAAGTTGACCCCTGAAACGTGAATTTTCGTTGCTGCATACACGCCGTATATCTTTTTGTAGAAAAAATAAACAAAAAGTTTTTGCTGAAAATAATATTTGTAATACAGCACTACAATAACATGTATTTCCATTATTTTGTATTCCTATTGCTCTGCGTTCAATAAGGGTACGTGTATGTGTATGGTGATTGGGGGGGCTTCTGCGCATCATCCTCTCAACGATCTTGTTTTTTTTAGGGGTTTTTATGATTAATTTTTCTTTTTTTTTATTTTATTTCAATCATAAATATCATATCTTTCTAAAAATGTAAAAAATATACACACTACAATACTTGAATCCTTGCCCGCCACCACACCGCACGGGCACCGACGACGACAGCGAGCTGCGGAGAAAGCTGCTGCTGCGTCAAGAAGAATAGAACAATAAATTAAATATTAAACTTTGTAAATATATTTTACAAAGTTTAATTATTTATAAATGCAAAAGAAGTCCGAAAAAAACTGCGCTTTCCTTGGTGTTTCCGCGGATACTCTGCAGTAGGTTTCGTATGACGATGATGTGCACGATTGGTGGTTCTTGCTGGCGTTCTGCTGCTATTTCTTTGAATAAATAGTTTATTTTTTCTCAGAAAAAGCAACAAATACACAAATATTATTTAAAAATAACGAAAAAATACACAAAATTCCACTCAAAAGCTTCGTTTTTAGCGTGAGGCGGCTGCAGATGTATGAGCCGCGATGCCGACGTAGAGAGTTGAATTTCAGGTGCAAGAGCGACGAATGCTGGACGATAAACCGAAAAAATCAGAAAAAAAGTAAAAAATTTAAATATAAATGTTCATTATATTCAACTTTTACAATTTATTTTATATATTTTTCACAAGAAAACACAGAAAACGACAAACAGCTGCTAGCTGGGCCTCGGCGTGCAGCGGCGAGCGAGAGTGCTGCTGCAGCTGACCTGTCCATCCCGCGGCTTGCTTGTCTCACGGCTACTTCTGCGTTTTTTACCGAAAAAACACCCCCTTTTCAGCAATTATACTTATTTTTTTGTGAAAAAGAATAAAAAAACAATTTTAATGACCCTTTTAACTTCCTTTTTAACCCAATATCGACGCATCTTCAGCTCGGGCTCGTGCAGCAGCAGTATGATACCTCGAGCCGAGCTGCGCGTCGGCGCCGCCGATACAACAACTCAGCGGAGGAGTTTTCACGTTTACGGTTTTTTTTTGTTTTCAATTTTTTTAATTTTAATAAAATTAAATTAAATTTATTAAATATTTTAATTTATTTCTCGAAAACAAAAAAAAAACACAAATTTCGGCGCCAGCTCTTGCCCCCCCCGCCGGTGACGTCATCAGCTCGCAAGACACCGCAGCCAAATACAGGTGTTATAAACAACAAAAAAAATAAATAAATTATTTATATTTTTATTATTTTAATTAATTTATTATTATTAATTTAATTTAATTTAAATTAGTATCCCTTTTTATGTACACTGCCGAATGAATGGCCGCTCCATGCAGCATACAGAAAAAGAAATACAGCTATTGCCGTTTATATGAGTCTTTATAATATTTATAAAAACTAAAAAAAAAACAAAAAAAAAATATAAAAATATAAAATAATAAAAAAATAAATAAAAGGATTATATAAAACACCACATCAGCAACAAAAAAAAAACTAAATATATCTCCCTGTACACCGCAACAACACCAAAAGAAAGCAACTGATGTTTTATTTTAATTAAAATAAAATAAAAAAAAATAAAATAAAAAATTAAAATAAAAACGAAAACTGTCAATAAACCTCCATATTAAAACTAAATACACACAGAGAGCGAAACCCTACACAAAA